GGGGGAAACCATCCCAGAAATCTCACACATGCAGGAATTGGAAAAGCAGCAGTACTTTTTAAAGTGGCCCGCATATTTGATAGCCTGAAGACGTGGCGCTCGCTCTCTTAAAGATGTACGGTCCTGTAAACTCTATGTAGGGTCACTGTGAGTCGGAATTGATTTGATGGCAGTTGGTTGGGGGGTTTCTCGCCACCTATTCTATCAAGAATGTCTTTCTCAGAAAATCAAGCTAAGCCCAGGGGAGGGGAGCATCAACATTTTAGAGGAGACATTGAAAGTTCTGTTGGCGAGTCTGGTGGGTGATTGGGGAGAAGCGTGGGAAACTGGCGACATGCCCTGCTACCAGCACTCAGGGCTCCAGGGCTTGGCACCCCAACCCCAGCGTGAGGCACACCGCTGCAGTGCACAGATTCCAGGGAAAATGTTTCTCCGTGCCACATCTATACATGCTAATACAACGATGTCTCCTGCAGGTGCCTGGCTCCTCCTGTACCGTAAAGGATCGTCTCTCTAAGCATTCTTACCTTAACCAGCAGTTTGCACCTCTTCTCTTCTACATGCCTGCTACTCCCTTTGAAGTATCCCCTTGAGGGCTTAGCGTATTCAAGATCAGTTCATTGCCCGTTTGTTTGATGTGTATGTATAACAAGAGGCTTGCGTGCCTCAAGACCTGCGGTTCTCAACCTGTGAGTCGAGACCCCTTTGGGGGTCAAACGATCCTTTCACAGGGGTCGCCTGATTCATCACAGTAGCAAAATGACAGTGATGGAGTAGCAACGAAACTAATTTTGTGGTTGGGGGTCACCACCCCCTGAGGAGCTGTCTGACCGGGTTTCGGCCTGGGGAAGGTGGAGGACGCTGCTCAAGTGCCTTGAATCCCCACTGTTGAATCAACGCAGACTCTCCGTCCTCTTCTCCACTCCTGAGAGTGCCGCCGAGTCCCCTGCACCTCCTTCTGTCTGTTTTGTCTCCTTTCATTGCTCACATCACTCTGCAGGACCATTTGACTGTGGGGTTGGACCCCACAGAGAAGTAACCTCACATCAGAAAGAGATGCTAAACACTGATTGCAGGGGACCTAGGGGGACAATGGGCAAGATTTTATGTTCCTGGGTAGACACGACGAATGAATACTTTTCTACTCAACCCTTGGTGAACCACACCGTGGACTAAGCACCATGATGACCTTGGATGCTGACCTTGCAGGCAGCGTGGCATAACTCAGGGGCTACACCAGAAGGACTTCACATAGAGGCCGGGCTGAAGGAACTGAGCCCTGCCTCAAAGTTGCCTGTACCATTGGACTGAGGACTGGGATACTCAGATGGGAGAAGAAACAGAGAGTGGACGCCCCAGGACAGTGGAAGTGGCGGTCATTGGACCTTGGAGTGGAGGAACCCCAGGCTTGGTGGGTGTCCAATTGAAAAGGGGCCCAGAATCACCCTATATTTAGTACCTCGATGCCCCCTCACAGTGACACAATGGGTTTTTGATCTGTTGGGCCTGGTCTGCACTTGAAATAATTGATCCGGGAAGTGTCCCCTGGCACCAACCTCATACTTGAGGGTAAACAGAACTCAATCGATAGGCGCTCCAACTATGTAGGGCATTCACTCAGGGCTTGCAGCGCATGGTGGAATTGAACTTGCATCGACTCCTCCTGGCAGTGTCCAGAGTGCAGTGTCATTGAACAAATTGATGAGGTTATCAGTGTAATCACCTTATACCCCAGGGGGAGGATTGACCATGTTTTACTTTTTATTCCTACGGAGTTTCTTTTCCTGCCGTTAGTTTGTTTGGTTTTGTGTTGTCTGCTGGTTGGTTTGTTGCTGCTTTTGGTTTTATGGGGTTTTGATTTTGTCACACTCTAACAGCCAAAGTAACCTGAGTCGTGCATATCCCACGGACAAGCAGATGGATTCTGGGCTCCCACTGAACTCTAGTCCAGTGGTTTTCAATCTGGGGGTCTCGAATGACCCCCGAGACACCGCTCCTCTATCCCTCTCCAGGCGAGTCTGCCCACATTGCAGTCAGGCCCACCTACGAGTACCCGGTGTGAAGACTGGTACCCATGCTGCACCGTGCTTCAAGACAAAAAGGGGTCATGACCCACAGGTTGAGAACCTGCTCTCCACCCACCCTGACTTTGTTCTAGGTGCCAGGGGCTCTTGCTCGGTCCTGGCTCTTTGAAGGAGGTCTGTTCTTCCCTGCTCAGGGTGGTATTTTTATCTTTCTATTGCGATTGTTTTGTTCTGACCCCTGCATTTTGTTTCTGTTGAGAAGCAGAGAGGTGTGGCTGCATAGAGGTCATAACTGATGCAAGGATCGATAGGGGATGCAGGGTGGGTAGGGGGAGCTGAGGGGAACTCAGGGAGTAAACAGTGAGGGGGAGGGCACACGAGAGCTGAATGCGATTACACAGCTCATTTTAAAGGCAATTTAGTCATGAGAGGAAAAAAAGAGAAAATGTTCTGAAATTGATAGTGGTGATGATTGTACAATTCTTCTTGACGTGCTTGAATGGTTGAATTGTATGATGTGGATTACGTGCCAATAAAACTGAAAAAAATAAACAAGGACTATGCAATGAAGCCGGAGATAGAACAGAAGCACTAAATATGTTATGAGGCCTATTAACTGAGATGTACCAGGACACCATGACCCTCAACCTCTAACCCAGCGGTTCCCAACCTGTGGGTCGAGACCGCTTTGGGGGGGCGAATGACCCTTTCACAGAGGTCGCCCAATTCATAACAGTAGCAAAATTATAGTTATGAAGTAGCAACGAAAATAATGTTATGGTTGGGGGGTCACCACCCCATGAGGAACAGTATGACAGGGTCGCGGTGGCATCAGGAAGGTGAACCGCTGCTCTGACCAAGGAACCAAATCCCATGAGGCATTTGGTCGTGCAGCTGGCAGCCTCAGCAGTTTCTTTTTATGTCAC